ATGTTTTTTATAAAAAAAAGCCAAAAAAAAATCACTCCTACATTAATAAAAATGCACACGCCCATTTTACAGGACAGGGTTTTATATTTAAGTGTGCAGGGTATAATATTTAAGTGTACAGTGTATATTATTTCAGTGTACAGGGTTGATATCTAAATGTAGAGGGTTTGATATTTAAGGGCACAGGGTATACTTTTTAAGTGTACATGATTTAATATTTAAGTGTACAAGGTTTAATATTTAAGTGTACAGGGTTTAATATTTAAGTTTACAGGGTTTAATATTAATATGTACACAGTTTAATATTTAAGTGCACATGATTTAATATTTTAGTGTACAGACTTTAATATTTAAGTGTACAGGGTTAAATACTTAAGTGTACATGGTTTACTACTAGTACATGGCATACTATTTAATTGTAAAAGGTTAAATATTTAAGTGTTCAAGGTTTAATATTATAGTGTACAGGGTTTAATATTAAAATGTGCAGGGTTTAATATTTCAGTGTACATGGTTTAATATTTAAGTATACAGGGTTTGATATTTAAGTGTACAGAGTTTAATATCAAATTTTACAGGGTTTAAAAATTTAACTGTGCAGGGTTAATATTTTAGTGTACAGGGTTTCATATCAAAGTACACTGAGCTTAATATTTAGCTGTGCAGGTTTTAATATTTAAGTGTGCATGGTTTGATATTGAAGTGTATAGGTTTTAATATCAAAGTGAACTTGGTTTAATATTTAAGTTTGCAGGGTTTAATATTTAAGTGGGCATGGTTTAATATTTAAGTGTACATTGTTTAATATTTAAGTGTACAGGGTTTGATATTTAATTGTACAGGGTTAAATATTTAAGTGTACAGGGTTTAATATTTAAGTGTACAGGGTTTAATATTTAATTGTACTGGGTATAGCGAGTAGAGTGAGTTTATTGTTCTGAGTATAATAAAAAACCCAGCACACCTTTGTGCATCCAGTACACTAGATGCGTCCATTATATTTTACCTCTGTAAGTCATTTTTTTTACTCAAAATTTGCATTTGAGTACAGGAGAAGAAATATGAGAAAAGATCGATAAAGTTTTGATTTTAGACGAGACTTATAAAGAAATTAGGTTTATGACATTGGAAAAAAAATCATCCCGTAAGCAACGGTGAAACTTTTTTTTACAAAAGTAAAACAAAGTTTGATTTGTTGTTGTTGTAGTTGTTAATATTTGTACAAATGTGAAACCTGGTAAATGTAAAGGAAACTATAAAGAGCTGAAAATCCGTATTATTTTTGCTTCTTGCAATTTTTTTTCTATTTTTTAATAATTAAAACACGATTGTATACGGTCCTATACCCTTTCAATTATCTGACTTACTAGTTAGGTTTCATGTTAATAAGTCATATAACAGATATGAATCATCTGATTAACTAAATAAGACTTTTTTAATATTTAAAAGAAGAATAAGTATCTAACTTCCAAAAAGCACCAAAAAAGTGCCAAAATAACGCCAACAAAATGGCCAGTTAAAGATAGATAGTTTGTCAACCTAGTATCAGATAATCTGTATACATAGATAATTGTCAGTCACTAGATGATGCGGAACTTCTAACATTTCCATGTCGTTTCCAGTTATTTCCTGACATACGTATTCTGTGATTATTTACAATCATTTCCTGTTGTTACCCGTTAAATTCGATGACGGTAATTGAGTCTATGCTTAATGAGGGTCCATCCATCCTTTCCGACACACAAAATGCAGTTTTCACTGTCGAATACGAACTCCGGACATGTCCCAAATCATGCCCGTTACATAACCGTTAATTTTGAAGCACAAAGTTGTGATCTTTTACCGTGAGTATGAACCAAAGAATTAAATTTTGAGCCAAATGTAAGTAACTGTACGTCGGCAAATGAGAACCTAAATGTACAGAAAGCTTGGAAGTAGCCTTGAAAAGGCCTGTTGGTTCCAAGGGCGTGCCTTTAAAGCCGTCTCACTCTGTGCTAGGGGCCCTCGCATGATAGTATATTTTCCTCGTCGCCCCTGCCTTTTTTCAGGGCCACTCCCCTCGACATTAGTCAGGACATTGGCATTCGCAGGAAGAAGTTTTGGTTATCTTCTTCAACATCCCAAGTCTTTAAATCTTCTGTCGATGCCCTGTGCCTTCTCCGCGACGTGCACGCTCCGAGTGGAAGTAAGATGACCCATTATATATCATATAATTATGTAGGTTATTTGGTTTGCTGGTTGGTTGGGTTTGTAAAGTAAGGTAAAGTAAAGTAAAGTAAAGTAAAGTAAAGTAAAGTAAGGTAATGTAAAGTAAGATAAGGTAAGGTAAAGGTAAGGTAAAGGTAAGGTAAGGTAAGGTAAAGTAAAGTAAGGTAAGGTAAGGAAAGGTAAAGTAAAGTATAGCAAGGTAAAGTAAAGTAAGGTAAGGTAAAGTAAAGTAAGGTAAAGCAAAGTAAAGTAAAGTAAGGTAAGGTAAGGTAAGGTAAAGTAAAGTAAAGTATAGTAAGGTAAAGTAAAGTAAGGTAAAGTAAAGTAAGGTAGAGTAAAGTAAAGTAAAGTAAAGTATAGTAAGGTAAAGTAAAGTAAAGTAAGGTAAAGTAAAGTAAGGTAAGGTAAGGTAAGGTAAAGTAAGGTAAAGTAAGGTAATGTAAAGTAAAGTAAGGTAAAGTAAAGTAAAGTAAAGTTTCTTTGTTTGTCGTCACTCAAGCAGTCAGTTAGTTAGCTATTATCATCGATCATTTACATTGCTTTATGGTTTAATTTTTTTTAACCTTTATATTTCAGTAAAAGGACCTATTTGATCGAATGTTTATGATCTCTAATCACAAATATCTTGTCTCTTTTTGGTGTGCTCCGGGTTTTTTTTTTCTTGTTAAAATTTCACCATATTTCTTTTACAATGTCGTGAGTAAGAAAAGAAAATCGCATGTTTTACAAAAGGAGCATAACATTTATTGAGAAACCTTAATTCACCTGAAAGTAATCTATCTACAATTTTAATATACAAATCCATTTCGAATACATTCTGTTCTTAGAGGGAATTATTTTAAAGGGAAGTAACCATTTCATACTTTTTTCCGGTAACTTTTTGCGAGTTATGTCCCTTCCATTGTTACTAAAATTACAATTACGATGATGATTCATTTCATTAATAATTATGGTGATGAGAATGTTGATGACGTTGTTGTTGTTGTTGATGATGCTGCTGCTGATGATGATAATGATGATGATGATAATCGTACGAGAATGATGTAACTTGCATAATTGGACATAGATAAATAGGTTTAAACCAAGAAATATTATTACATGTAGTAAAAATAAATAATCATTTAAATAATGAGAAAACAATGTGCATTATTTGATATAATGTTGTTGTTAATGTTGTTTTTTGGTTTGTTTTGTTTTGTGTTTTTAATTCTTTAAGTTCGTCTTTACCGACTTCATTTAAGTATTGTTTTAAGATGAATTTAAAATATGGAAAAAAAAATTGATGTCTTTAACAATTTTTTTTTCTTTTTTTCTGATCTCGTGTCTTTTCACTATGAAAAGAGTATCATTAAAATGATAGGAGCATTATAATGGGCTATTTCTGGAAATGGTGGGCATATTTGTATCAAATGGGTAATAAATTGACAATTATTCCATTCAATGAATTTACTTTCGCAAATAAAACAAGAAAAAAATAGCTTTTTTACGTTTTTTTTTAACCAGAACAACACAAATATTTATGACTCACTTGTAGTGACAATCGCTTATAAATCATTTTCTGAAATAGTTTTTATGTTTCTGAAACATTTGTAAAACAGTGAGGCACAAAAAAGAAGAGATAAAAACGAAAAACAATGAAAAACTTAACTGTAAGTTACGAAGAATTTCTGATGCTTTGATTAAAGAACGGCTCAACTAGTTGTTTTTTTTGACATGCAAAAACATGTGCAATGTGTATCAATTAGGGAAATTGTGCATTGTAAGATTGGAGGGGGGGGGGGAGCGTTATCCCGATATCAGAAATGATTTTTTAATATATCTAAAAAAAAGTTAAATGTCATGAAAAGATATTTTTAACAACATTGTAGCAAACATCTGCCATATAAAATAAACAGCGTCCATTTAAAATAGCTCCCACGTGAGTCTTACTGTTTCATAATAGCGTGCACGTGATTGCACAATTATTGCTTGGTCGTTTATGGCCTATAAACAGCCTCGTTTTGAAAGGTAGTGTGTTTATGTTTAAAGTTTGTTTTTTTTCAAATGAAAGAGCATGAGGGAGATTAAAGTCGCATTTTATGATTTTTCTTCTGTTTTAAAGAAGAATATCACGCTCGTGCAGTTACACGTGCATGTATGTTTACTGTTTCGCTCAAATTGAATTTCGTACTGTACACAATATAAAAGTTTAACATTTTATACAAACATGAAATTTAAAAAAAAAAGCCGAAATTAAACAAAAAGTTATATATTGAGCTTTGTTGTTAGATATACACAATATATCTACATAAGTAAGAGTTGAAGTATAAATATGGACACATTAAATCGTTTATTTCAAATACCTTTTTACTGTATATAATTACAAAGATAATTTATGTTTATTAGGCCTACACGAAAACGGTAACAAATCTGTATAATTATACAATATATGTGTCCAAATTACGGTGGCAGATATGGGAAATCGGCAATATTTAATTAATCACATGGTACGTTCGTTGTATTCTGCGTGTACCGATAGCTTATTGCGTGTACATAATAGCCAAAACGCACATGCAAACATGCGCACGTGTTCATCTTAATGTGCACATGTGTTGCCAAGTTGTTGCCAACTACAATGTACATTGTATTTACGTTGTGGTAACGCTACGTCGAACCACTTAAAGCAAAGTGTGCACATATTAAGTAAAAATAAACTCAATGTCCCTTTTATGCCACCGTATCAAACTCGTGTCAGACGAAAAGTAAATTCTATTTTTACTTCTATTTTCAACACATTCATATTTAACCTTACTAGTATCTAAAAATAGAATGCTGCGTTATCATTTGAGGTATTAGTTAATGTCCTAGATATGAACACCCGAATCACGGGGTAAACCTAGCTGAATACTTGTGTATCCCATTACTTTATCATTGTGTCGTAAAATTGTGAATAGACTGCTTACTACAAGGTAAGAAAATCAGATTTAATTTAAACTTTAATTTATTGTATTATTTCATGCTATTTAACCATTCAATCTTTTAATGCACATTTATATAGGCTACCCTGCACTCTTCTGATGTTCGAAATCTATATGCAAAGCTTTGTTTACCCAATTGTGGGTGCAGCAAACTAGCTGAACTCGATGGAATTCTATACGTTACGTCACATTACACAATAATTTTTCTAGTGTAAATTTTTGGAACAGAAACAAGATCGAATATATTAAGGGTATCGAATTTAAACTGCAGGGGCGGGTATGGTCATACATATCACAACGATTTTTGACTACTATCTAGTAGGCGTTATATTTCCTTTAGTGGAGTTCTTTCAGAAAACGAGATTTTGGGATGTACTGCCCTCTGTTTATGATGCTTGTCTGGCACGTGTCAAACCGGAAGTAAACAAAACATAATTCAATGTTGTACATCAATGTCATGTCTAATGATCTTAAGTATTGAGCAAATAAGGAAGTAAAGAAGTCTACAGATCAAAATTATCGATGACTTTTTTAAAGGTTTTTGTTGCTTGAAAAAGAAATCAGTTGTAATCACTCTCACTAGTTTATTTCATTTATTGATATGCGTTTACCATTTTTCATATTCATGTATGTATATATTTGCTGTATATGAGGATGAGCTGTATATGCTTAATTAAAAAAAAAAATGTTCTGTTCTGTTCTGTAATCCGGAGCTGGGCAAATGTGGGTTATTTATTTATTAGCAAGCTAATTCCCCTGTACAAGCACACTTTTATTGTTATAGTTTAACGGTGCACTGCCGGTTACGATAAATAAGTCTGCCTGATGCGTTTATTTAAATGAGCCGCGTCATGACAAAACCAACATAATGGGTTTGCGACCAGCATGGATCCAGACCAGCCTGCGCATCCGCGCAGTCTGATCAGGATACATGCTGTCCGCTTACCAACTCTATTACAGGTAGATAAACTGATAGCGAACAGCATGGATCCTGATCAGACTGCGCGAATGCGCAGGCTGGTCTGGATCCATGCTGGTCGCAAACGCACTTTGTTGGTTTTGTCATGACGCGGCTCAAATTATGTAACTTTAAAGATTGTTTGTAGCCCCGGATTGGCTGGGAAAACCCAAAATATTCTAAATTCCGGAGTGAAGTGGATCGGACTTCTGACGTCGACACAAAACGAGTACGTACACGATTCAAACAAGAGGGTCAGAAGTTCGATACACTGTGACTTCATAGTTGTCCACTGTCCAAGTTCCTGTGTAATTTTCAGCCGTCACCATCTTACTTAAGACTCAAAGAGACAATGTAAAGAGGCAAGTAGTATGTGGTCAGAAGAATAATGTACACTACATGTAAAAACATGTACGAGGCCATCCTTAAAAAAATGTTTGTTTGCAGTAACGCGACCGGCTCACAAAATTTGCCCCTACTCAAATTTTTTTTCATGGTTTGGATAAAAAAAAATTATTTTTTTTGAATCAGAAAATTATGCCTTGTGCTTTGTTTTCGTTCTTTTAAAGGTTAATAGAAGAAATAAAATGTAGGTCTTATTAAATTAGAATTCAGTTATCAATTTATTAATTGTTACCAGATTATCAAAGCATATATTGTCCTGCATTTTGAAATTCCATGTTTTTGGGGAGTACAGTTCAATAAAAAAAAAAAAAATCAACCTACCTACCCACCTTGAAAATTCTGGGTCGGGTTACTGCAAACAAAATTTTTTTTAAGGATGGCCCGAGCTTAGTTTCACACCGTACAATCAAATGGGCAGACAGCTGTTTTAGCGTCCACAGCTGTACCAGTATATACATGTCGGCGCGGGGAATACAATTGACGTACGATAAGTATTCATCTATTTTTAACATATCCAAACTGTGTTCGAGTAAATCGATGTTATGGATTCATAGTCAACATCCAAAGAATCATGCTAACAAATTTCTGGCCCTGTGCAAGCTTTACTTCACATGAACTTTGACTGAAAATAACAACACTATCCGATGAGATGCGGTATTTTTAGTTTGAAGTCACAAAAACTTATATTTTCTCATGATTATTATTCCTTTTTTTCATACGATACGTAAACGTCAACATTTTGTCATTAAATATTCCAAACCATACCTTCAAAAAAGCTTTTCTGTTAAAGTTATAAGGTATTTAAGTTTGAGTGTCATCAAAATTTTAGTAACGTCATCAGCTGTTCGCCTCTTTTTAATGATAACATCGACAGCAATTCATCGGCAAGGATGAATAACGCTGAAAGCTGTTCAAAAAAACAATTTTCAGCGCTTATTTGCCACAGTAACTAGGAAAAAGTAAAACATTTTTGTCCATTTAAAATATTACTTTATTCATGATACTTTCTAATTATATTATTTTTATTATTACTTTCTATCATTTGTTGTACCTTAGCTGAGAGGCCTATATCTCCATTTACCGCGCTGTATTTCAATATTGATATTGTTCATATGAATGAATAAATGAGTGAGTGAATGAATGAATGAATGAATGAATGAATGAATCAATCAATCAATCAATCAATCAATTAATTAATTAATTAATTAATAAATGAATGAACGAACGAACGAATGATGCAATATACGCATATGTTAAAACAAATTGTCTGTAGAAAGTATATGAGTTGTAATATTCTAAAAGTTACATATTATACATTCATTTTTCTTCTTATGCATGTCCTGTTGTTGTTGTTGTTTTCTGTTTCAGAAGGCCACAATGGAAATAAGATATATATGAGTGTTATTGTATGTTATTAATGTATAACCTTCTTTAAATAAAGATATTATTTTTATTATTATTATTATAATATAAAAAGGAAGCAAGATCTATTAATATGTTTCTGAAATGTTAAATTCAAAGAAAGTAAAGGCAAATTTAACTCTAAATACGAATACTCTGTATTATAACTAAATCCATCAAGTGTTATTATAAATAATGGCATATAGTAGACATGTCCCATGCAGTAAATGGATGTGTAACCCGAGATGTCTGCCATATAAAATGATTTATTTAAAAAATAAAAATTTAAATAATTTTTAAGAATGGTAATTATTTCTATTGCACTATACATTAAAACGACAACATGTTTTTCCATGCGCTTTCATATCTGGGGTTACTAGCCATTCACTGCATAAGACTTGTCCATTAAATGCCTTTATTTATAAAAGCACTTGATGCATGCCTTCATTTACAACACTGAATATTCATAAAAAGCGTTAAATTTGCCTTTGCCTTTTGACTTTAACATTTCATAAACCTATTACAGGAACTCCACTGAGGTTTTTAAGCCTGAAAAAATGAAATTTTATTTTTTCACATAAAAAAACATGAGCACTAAAACATAAATATTAATAAAATATAACCAAGAAATATAGGAGAAATACATTGAAAATCATATGTTTGTGCTATTCTCAGTCCGATTTGAGTGAAAAGCGTTTAAACTCTTTTCAATTTTGGGTCATTTTTTCACTATTATAATATTCTGGAAAAACGGAGCAAGCTAATGATCGGAAATTTTGCATATAAGTTATTAGTATAGATCTACATCAAATGGAGAAATAATCTCAAAAAATTATTTCCAGTCCCGTCATGTCAAAAAACCTTAGTGGAGTCCCTTTAATAGGTTTTGCTACCTTTTTATATTGAAATACAGTGCGGTAAATGGAGATCAAGGTCTCTAACCTAAGATATAACAAATAATAGAAAGTAATAATAAAAATAATATAATTAGAAAGTATCATGAATAAAGTAATATTCTAAATTAACAAAAAAGTTTTACTCTTTCCTAATTACTGTAGGACAAAAGCGCTGTTGTTAATACATGTAATTGTTTCTTTGAACAGCTTTCAGCGTTATTCGTTCTTGCCGATGAATTGCTGTCGATGTTATCATTAAAAAGAGGCGAACAGCTGATGACGTTACTAAAATTTTGATGACACACAAACTTAAATACCTTATAACTTTAACAGAAAAGCTTTTTTGAAGGTATGGTTTGGAATATTTAATGACAAAATGTTGACGTTTACGAATCGTATGAAAAAAGGATTAATTATCATGAGAAAATATAAGTTTTTGTGACTTCAAACTAAAAATACCGCATCTTATCGGATAGTGTTGTTATTTTCAATCAAAATTCATGTGAAGTAAAGCTTGCACAGGGCCAGAAATTTGTTAGCATGCTCCTTTGGATGTTGACTATGAATCCATAACATTGATTTACTCGAATACAGTTGGGATATGTTAAAAATAGATGAATACTTACCGTACGTCAATTGTATTCCCCGCGCCGACATGTATATACTGGTACAGCTGTGGACGCTGGAACAGCTGTCTGCCCATTTGATTGTACGGTGTGAGTTTTTAGCTCGACTATTCACAGAAAAATCGAGCTAATGCAGTCACCCATTTGTCGGCTTCGCCGTCGCCGTCCCTGTGGTTAAGTTTTTGCGTGTAAGCGGGTAACTCCATAACTACTGAAGGGAATGGATTGAAACTTCACACACTTGTTCTCTGTGATTATCTAACATGATTGGCACAAGTCCCATAACTCTGATTTGCTTTTTTGCATAATTATGCCCCTTTTTCGACTTAGAAATTCTTGGTTAAGTTTTTGCGTTTAAGCTGGTATCTCCATAACTACTGAAGGGATTCACACACTTGTTCTCTGTGATTATCTAACATGATTGGCACATGTCCCATAACTCTGATTTGCTTTTTTGCATAATTATCCCCTTTTTCGACTTAGAAATTCTTGGTTAAGTTTTTGCGTGTAAGCTGGTATCTCCATAACTACTGAAAGGTATGGATTGAAACATCACACGGTAGTTTGCACTTGACAGTACCGTCCATGAACAGGCTCAATCAAACCGAGCCTGCAACATTTTCAATTTTGCCGTGTTGGGCTTTCTTTAGGAATTCTAATTTTCTCTATATTATTCCACACACTTCTTCTCTGTGATTATCTTACATGATTGTCACAAGTCCCAATATTTTTGATTTTTTTCATTATTATGCTCCTTTTTCGGCTTAGAAGTTCTTTGAAAAAGTTTTGCTTGTAAGCTGGTATCTACATAACTACTGAAGGGTTTGTGCCTTTTTTTGGGACACTTTTATGTATTCATAATAATAAAGCAGTGATTTACTCGATAAAACATCTTAATAACAAGCCTTTGTACCTTTTCGGACAATTTTATGTATTCATATAGGAAAGCATTATCATACATGACGAAACACTCTTGTGACAACTTTTCGAATAGTCGAGCGTCACTGTCCTCCGACAGTTCTTGTTTTTATTGAAATCCTGTCTAAATTCATGTGTTTTCATTCAGGTAACAAAATGTTGTTGAAAGTACTGTTTGCAAGTTTTGCCCTTATGACAGTGGCACAGGGCAAGTCTAAGTATTGTTGCTATCCTGATCAATGGGAGGCCGTGGAAGGATTGATGGCGGGTTCAGTTGACGATGAGGGGCACGCAACAATCACCAATGTAAGTACATTTTTTTGTGGCAGCTTTAATAAGTTGCCCGTACTTCACTTCAGTGTTTTTACATTTTTCTGGTCCTTCGGGATCATTGATACAAGCACTACTTAGTGTTGAGAATTGAGTACCGCTCAAGCCTGTGCTAGGGGGCGTGAGGGATGTTGCACTTATTCATTATCCCTCATGCATAGACTCAATCAAACCGAGTTTGCAATTTTCATGTAATAATGATGTGATTAATGCTGTTCTTTAATTGGATGTAAAGGAGAACGACATTGCTTTTAAGTAGGGCATATATGTTCCATAACAGTGACTCCCCTAGGTAAATCACTATAGGTCAATAAATAATAATAAGTCTCGACAGAGGAATTTTGAGATCACATTAGTAACCGTATTTTGGTAACTGGTTTTTCTCCATGAACTACGAAAGGAAGTACCCTGGGAAACTCCATACTAGATAATACTAACTAATATTGTTCTTGCTGTGCAAGATTATATCAGCAAAAGCAAGAGATTTACGTAAGAACGATATCCTTCTTTTATCAATGCCATACCGTTAGTGCCTTCTGGAAATATCTTCTTTTCTCTGCTTTCTAACTTCTTCTTCTCCTGTCTTTTTCAGATAGTTCATTATTTTACAAAACTTATTTTTCGAACCTTCTTCTAACCAACTTCGAACTCATAATTATGTTTGGTATATAACATAAAATGTCTTCTTATTCAACAATTACTCATTGTACTTTCAAGCATATCCATGTACATACATTTATATAGCAAATAAAAACTAAGATAAGACCTATATAAGCATTAGCTTTCGGTTTCATTTCATGTGTTGTAAATTCTATTTGTTAATTAAATGTGTATACTTGTATGAAATAAACTATGTTTAAACTGAGATCACTGTAACCTCAACCTTTTAAAAACTACACCCATATAAAGTTAATTTTTTAATAATTAGTCCCCTACCGGTTTAACCGGAGGGGACTTTAGGTTTACCCTCCGTCCGTCTGTCCGTCTGTCTGTCTGTCCGTCTGTCTGTCCGTCTGTCTGTCAGTCCGTCAGTCCGTCCGTCCACAAAACTGGATCCCGCGATAACGCAAAAAGTACTGAAAATATTTTTATGAAACTTGATATATGGATAGATGGCAGTATGGAGATTATGCACGTCTTTTTTTTTTCTTCCTATGTTGAAAATTCTGGTTGCAATGGCAACAAATAGTCTGAAAATATGGCAAATTTAACACATAAACTGGATCAGTGATAACTCAAAAAGTACTGAAAATATTTTTATGAAACTTGAAATATGGGTAGATGGCAGTCTGGAGATTATGCACATCTTTTTATTTTCTTCCTATGTTGAAAATTCTGGTTGCTATGGCAACAAATAGCCTGAATTTCAAGATTTCTGATTTAAATTTTTCAGCTTTTTCACTATATGTTCTTTATTTCTTAAGGTGTTTACTTCAAACTTTAAATATAAGTTCCTGGTCATCAACCACATCATATGTGACAAGGTTTATAACTCTAGCACAAAAAATATTAATATTACCTCCCTTGAACTTAGATTTTTTTAGGGGAAAAAATGTTGTCTTTTTTAAATAACTTCTTTATTTCCTAATGTATCTACTTTCAAACTTCATATATATGTTTCTTATTATCACTCGACATTTTTGAGAAGGTTAAATACTCTAGCAAGACTATTTCCAGAATTATGTCCCCCTTGAACTTAGATTTTTTTCGAGAAACTGGTATTTTCACTCCAACTTCTTCATTCCTTATAGGATTTACTTTAAAATCCCACATCGTAATAATATGACAAGGTTGTATAAACATAATTTCCTTACTAAGCATGGAAACTTAACACATTACTGTGATATAAACAAACTTATTTTATTATGTTTTGTGGTCGATATTTTCAAATACAGACTTCATCCTCAAATTCATTATAAATGGCAATACACAGGAGTGTATGACAATTAAAGAACTTTTTGAGGGACCGGTAGGGGACTACTGTATTGCCCGCAATACTATCAAATGCTTGTTGAATTAGTAACGGAATGATTTGGTGTATGTAAAGGTTATAATGAAAATATTGTATACCTATTCTAACATAAACTGAGAATTGAACATTTATGTTCACATTTATGTTTTTCTTTTTTAGGGCTACGTTACGGTGTCATATGATGCTAAAAATCAGAGAATTTACGGCGTTGATACCATAACCACAGGTTCAGTCACAAAAGTTTACACATTTCTACAGTTGTTCACAGAGGTTTGTAAATCTATGTTTTCACAGACATAATTTTGAACAATTCGATATACCGGTTAAAGAATGGCATACTATACCGTAAAAATTTAAAGACGCGGAATAATGCAATGTGGCTTCATGGTCAAGAGTTTTCACTGGAACATAATTTTGAATAATTCGATATACCGGTTAAAGAATAGCATACTATACCGTACAAATATAAAAAGAGGCGTCATAATGCAATGTGGCTTTACGGTCATGAAGTTTTCATTGGAACAAGGTCATTCGATGTTAAAGAGAAATTTGGTGTGACAATTCGCTTTTGATCTATTACAAGCAATATTTTAATCACAAATTTAATTACCAATGTAAAATTTTAAATTTAAAGGATGATGTATGAGCTTTAAGTCAACTAAAAAGGTGAAAAAGACAGCGAATAATATAAAAAGTTTTATAATAATTCTACATCATTTATTAACTTTTGAATTGTACCAGGTTACGCCACTCGTGAGAATACTGTTTTTAAAGCTCACTCGATGAAATAAAATTTCATCTTACACACAAAAAAACCACCAAATATCCTCTATATTCTATATTGGACGCTGTAAACAATAGACATATACAATTTTGGTATAAATTTCAAGTCTTACACAGCTTTATGTATATAAAACTCGAAAAATGGTTTCCCTAGCTACGACTCGATCAAATAAATTACCGTAATGTACAATTAAATGTAAAATAACTTTAAATTACTTATATCTACATGTAAATAGATTCATAAAAAGCAATATTAGGTATGAACTGTCGACTTAAATACGACAATATATTTTGATTGTTCTTTCCTTCAGGGTGTACAATATCTCATTGTGAACAAAACGTGTACGCGAGCGAAACTTGGTGCCTGGAATAATCAAAACTGCATCCCCGGTAAGTATATCTGCATTTTATTTTAAATTGTTAACGACAATTCACATTTTCGTATTCCATTAAATGATTTACAATTTCCATAGCACTATCATTTACAATTTCTTTATTCCATAGCATCTTGTCATGCAAGAGTTGTCGGTCCTTATTACTGGTAACTTGTTAATATGGGCAATAAGTCAGGTTATATTTTATATTTCCTAACAGGCAGGTGTGTCCTAGAAATAGGTAGAATGCATTGTTTGGTTGTCATTATTTAGTCGAAAAAAATGTTGCGTGACATATCTCAAGTCATTGGTGTTTCCTTTAAAAAAGGCAAGCTTTTTTTGTAAAATTAAATGTGAAAATATAATAAGCTAAGATTCAATAACAATACTGTTAGGCTGTTAGCCACGTGTTTTAACACTTTCGCGGCAAAAATAACGAATGTTCTTCGTAAAATGAGCGATTCCAAAGGCCCATTATGTCCCAGAAATGCTTTTATTTTTATTTCTTAAAAACTTTGTGCTACTTTTATAATGTCCGAAAAGTTATTCATCGACCAGTTACATGAACCATCTTTTTATCTGTTGCTTTTTGAGAATAAGTGCAGTTGTAGTGAATTGGTGTTTTGTACAGAAGCCAAAATACATACTACTTGTTAACATTTTGCTTCCCTTAGGTAACAATCATCTAACATTCTTTAAAACCATTATTTAAACATTATGAATTTCATGTGATTTCTTAAGAAGTAAAAATTTATTTGTTTCTGAGTCATAATGTGCCTTAATGAAACGAAGTGTTATTTTCAGATAATGCTACGTTAACTAACCAGTACAGACTTGGACTGAACCAAAGTATTATGATCAATGATTATACGTACAGTATAAGTAATCTAACATATATCGTGAGTGTGGAAAACAAATCGTGTGCCCCTGTTGTAGAGTACAACTTCGGAGATCTTAACGGAGGTAAATCTGATTTCAAAATTTTGTGAGAGTGTAATGATATAGATAATTATTTATTTCATAAATTTAAATGTATGACATTCCATGGTGAAAAAAATGGTAAAAACCCATAAAGTCATTGAGGTTTAGATAACTATCTTTCACAGTATGATAAGAAAAGCGGATCATTATGACGGCGTGGTCAGCTGGACAATTCCAGCATGCAAAGCGGCCGTCTTCATGCGTCAATCCAATTGTTACATTGGGATAATGTTTACCTGGTTCGTACTATAGAATACATGATTTCGTTTGTAAAACCAGAGACCAGAGCCCCACGGGGAGCGTTAATTGCAGGATGAATGTTTCTCGTGGGACTCATTCCGAAATAGCCGCTTCGTGAGCCGCGAGGTAGTTAAAATGAATGGTTACCGATTTCTATCCGCCTGGCGCCTGGCATAGTGATAGGAGTTGGGAGGTACATGGTATGCAAGCAAAAGGTGTCTCATAAGTCAGAAATGGCTGGCCCTTTCAGTAGGGGTGACACTATAATAAACAATACCTTTACCTTTTATCAGGTACGTATGTTAATATACGTACCTGCTTTTATATACGGAGGGATAAGAAACTCCAAAAATAGAATATATTCACGGCCTGACCACAATCCTTTTCGCGAGATTAATTGGCCCGTAAAGTTTGTCGATTTCCGCCATTTTTGTTTTATGTAAATGAATTGTTTATGTTGTTTATTTGTCTTGAATAGTTTCCATTTCAGTATTATTTTATCAAATTTTAGCACATTCGCACACAAATATAAGTATAGAACTTTTTAATTTATACTTTTTTTGAAAACTGAAAATGTCTTTGTAAATTCAAGACGACGGAACATGATCTCGGGGAATCTTTTCGAAAAATGTGAACTTGCTAGGTAATTAATTGCTAGTACAGATTTTAATTGTATGCTGGCATAGCTTCATTTCCATTTAAATATAGCTCTGTGGTGAAACTGCTAATATGCCGTTGATCATGCAATAAAATTAAAATTGCGCGGCTAAATTTTTGCACAGCTAAAAACCGGAAATATGGTGGCTTCTGATGCATATTAAGTGAACATTTATGAAAGAATGGGCTTTATAACATGCAAGGATGTTGAATCATATTCTTTCTTTGAAAAACAACACTGCTGAATTTTTCATTGCATAGTAAACAACAGGTTTAAAAGTAGATCAAAATGGTAATTTTTCTGTAAAAAAGTACATCCTATCATAGCACACGAACTGAACGAAAACACAAATTAGAACTTTCAATGATTTTTAAGAGCCTAATTTCCTGTTAAATATTACATGTATGCATTTATGCCAGGTTTCATCAAGTGAGGACCGACTAAATCTAAGGTATTATTAAACAGGTTGCTGGGCGACCGTTCCTTGAAGGACAGGTGGTTTGGGGCGTTCTACCAAAATGAACTAAGGAGAAATATATTTTGTTATTTCTTCTTTTGTAGAACGATAGACCATTGCGACGTATGTTACTTTGGCGGAATGAATATACTCTGTTTTCAAATATTCATTCGCTCCTAAACTTATTTCTTGCGTTCGGACATACGGACGGCCAATGTCATTTCAGTACTTACTTTCAAATTTTCTTCTGTCCGAAGTTGTCTCCCTTTAAGCACTAAATAAAGAAAATTAATATATGCATGTATTTTAACATTTCAGCTCAGCTGATGACAGGTGTCGGGGTACAGGGTATAACCGTGGGAATCAAGGACCCTTCTGTTTTTGATGTTCCAGCTATCTGTAAACAAGCGGTATGTTGAGAGCTTTTCTTCTTTTTTATGCTCCCCGAAGGGTAAGCATATAGTCGCCGTTTTGTTTGTCCGTCTGTCTCTCCGGTTGTGCGTCCGTCCGCTTTTCTTGTCTCTGTAACTATAAAAGATATCAACATGAAACTTTGTAGGAAAATAGTTCATATTGGGTAATAATCGTATCTCTGCCTTGCCTTATTTTGGATTTATTGCCCTTTGTTCATTTTTACACTTTGAACTTTGTGCGGGACAGACATAACTCTAAAACTATAAGACACATCAACATGAAACTTTGTAGGTAGATAGATCATATTAGGGAAAAAAACATAACTCTGTCTTGCCTAATTTTGGAGTTATTGCCATTTGTTTATTTTTACACTTTGAACTTTGTCCGGGACATAGCTCTGAAACTATATGACATATCAACATAGAACTTTGTAGTTAGATAGATCTCATTTGGTAGAAGTATAGTGCAATAGAACTATAAATCTGCCTTGCCTAATCTTGGAGTTATTGCTCTTTGTTCATTTAAATACTTTGAACTGTGTCCAGGACCTAACTCTGAAACTATAAGAGATATCAAAATGAAACTTTGTAGGTAGATAGATCTCATTTGGTAGAAGTGCAGCGCAATAAAAACTATAACTCTGCCTTGCCTAATTTTGGAGTTATTGCCCTTTGTTCATTTTAACACTTTGAACTTTGTCCGGGACATAACTCTGAAACTATAAGAGATATCAACATAAAACTTTGTAGGTAGATAGATCTCATTGTGTAGAAGTGCAGTGCAATAGAACTATAACTCTGCCTTGCCTTATTTTGGAGTTATTGCCCTTTGTTCATTTTAACACTTTGAACTTTGTCCGGGACCTAACTCTGAAACTATAAGAGATATCAACATGAAAAGTTGTAGGTAGAAGTATCTTATTGGGTAGAAGTTAAATGCAAATAAAACACCATAAATCTGCTTCGTTTAATTTTGTAGTAATTGCCCTTTGTGCGTTTTTAACACTTTGAACTTTGTCCGGGACATAACTCTGAAAATATAAGAGATGTCAACATGAAACTTTGTAGGAAGATAGATCTCATTGGGTAGAAGTAGAAATATTCCAAAATTAGCTTTTAAGCTCCACTTTCAAAAGAAAAATGCAGCTATTGTTATGACCCTCCCGTCGGCGTCGGCGTTGGTTAACCTTTTTTGTTAAGATCCATTTTCTCAAAAAAATAAAGTTATGTTCCCTTTTCTCTTTAAATTCGTCTTTTTTTTAACTCTCAGCACTGAGAAAAAAGGAGCTCGCTGTCCGCAAAAAGGTTTTGTTTTTAAATAAAATGTTTGTTTGACTTTAACCAATGTCATAGCTGCATGCCTCTAAATGAGCCATAATATAAATGAGCCGCGTCATGACAAAACCAACACAGTGGGTTTGCGACCAGCATGGATCCAGACCAGCCTGCGCATCCGCGCAGTCTGATCAGGATCCATGCTGTTCGCTTACCAACTCTATTACAAGTAGAGAAACTGATAGCGAACAGCATGGATCCTGATCAGACTGCGCGGATGCGCAGGCTGGTCTTGATCCATGCTGGTCGCAAACCCACATTGTTGGTTTTGTCATGACACGGCTCAATTATCAATATAATAAAATAATACAATACAAAATAAACTTGAGAAAAATATACTAAGATTTTAAGAAAAGTACAAAAAAGACAGTTTACAGTTATATTTCACATGTTAAATGGGGCTGATTTGGCTTTTTTGACATTTATCTGGTATTTTATGTAAATTGCAAGTGCTGTTTGCAATATCTCAATTATTTTATTTGTTCACTTTAAAATATTGCACTTTTAAACAGATTTTTAAAATTTTCATGAAAATTAATATGAATTTGAGGCACGCTACTTAAATGTTGATGAGAAAAAAGTTTATACATTTAATATAATGCAAGGAACATCGGAAGACTAAGCGATCAAGTTTAAGTGAACGAGATCGTCCTGGTTTATGTTGCATATAATAAGAAAGAGACATGATAGCACGATAGACCGGTAGGGACATTTCAGCTTCATGAATTCTTGATTTCATCGGCATGAATTTACAATTTTAACTTCGTGAATTCCCGTTTTCAACATACGGAATTCACGAATTCACGATTTCAGCTTCGTGAATTCTCGATTTCAACTTCATGAATTCCCGATTTCAACTTCATGAATTCACGATTGTCTTAACAACAGCTCTTGTTTCATGTGAGTTTGCTTCGTAACAAGGATTGGATAGCAACATGGAAACGAACATTGAAAAAAATGTATACATGTATTCATTTTGTAGATTTTAATTTGAAATGTGGGCATTTATTATCCCCCGCCGAAAAATTTCGGCGGAGGATATAGAAATAGTCTCCGTCCGTCCGTCCGACCTTCCGTCCTTCCGTCCGTCCCTCCGTCCTTCCGTCCGACATTTTTGTCCGGAGCATATCTCTAAAAGTATTTGAGTTATCAACTTGAAACTTCATAGGTGGATAGACCTCATTGAGGAGGAGTGCAGTGCACAAGAATGATAACTCTACCTTGCATGATTTTTGAGTTATTGCCCTTTGTTATTTTTCAAAATTGATTTTTGTCCAGAGCATAACTCCAAAAGCCTATGAGATATTAACATGAAACTTCATAGGTGCATAGATCTCACTCAGGAGGTGTGCAGTGCACAAGAATGATAACTCTACCTTTCATAATTTTTGAGTTATTGCCCTTTGTTATTTTTCATACCTAATTTTTCACCTGAGTGGAGCATAACTCAAAAAGTGTTTGAGATATCAACATGAAATGTCATAGGTGGATAGATCTTATTGAGGAGGAATGTTGTGCGCAAGAATGATAACTCTTCCCTATACAATTTTTGAGTTATTGCCCTTTGTTTTTTTGTGCTATTTTGTCCAGAGCTTATCTCAAAAAGTATTTGAGGTATCAACTTGAAACTTCAAAGGTGGATGGATCTCATTGAGGAGGAGTGCAGTGCTTAAGAATGATAACTCTACCCTGCATTATTTTTGAGTTATTGCCCTTTGTTATTTTTCAAAATTAATTTTTGTCCAGAGCATAACTCAAAAAGCCTTTGAGATATCAAAATGAAACTTCATAGGTGCATAGATCTCACTCAGGAGATGTGCACTGCACAAGAATGATAACTCTACCTTTTATAATTTTTGAGTTATTGCCCTTTGTTCTTTTTCATACTTAATTTTTTTATTCAATTTTTTTCTCAAAAAGTATTTGAGGTATCAACTTGAAACTTCATAGGTGGATAGATTTTACTGAGGAGGGATGCAGCACACAAGAATGATAACCTACCCTGCATTATTTTTCAGTAATTGCCCTTTGTTATTTTCAGCCATCAGTATTCACATAGGTTTCAAATCTGTAATCATTATAGCCATCAGTTTTCATTACCAAAAGACCTCTTAAAATGGAATTATTCCGCTCTACTACATATACATTCTTCCAATGAGCAAACACATTCGGCGGGGGATGGCCATGTTGACATGGCTCTTGTTTCCATGGTATCAAAGAAAATAATTTTCATTCTCTTTATTTCAGCCTCATGATCAGAGCACATTGAGAAGCGTGTCGTTCACAAGAAGACGATGAACATATTTTATCAGGGCATAACATATGGGCACACAAACTGATATATCTTATTGTATGGGTTTTTGTAAATTTGTGACGAATCTGCTGAAATAAACGGGGAAAATATTTTTATGTAAGGGAATCCTTTTTATCCTTTGTAAAATCCCCTGGAAAAATGTTTGTATAAATTAGTTAAGGATCATTCGTGTTTGAAGTGTAGATTTTGGAAGGCAGTCTCACCTTCCTATGCCATCGTTTTGTAATTGTATTGGCCAAACAACCGAGTTGTCAATACAAACGCGTAGGTCATTTTAGTGTGCGAGAACAAAACATGAATGACTTTTCATAGAAATACTGAAGAAATGAAATTATTGCTAATTTGAATATATATGTTCTACAACAATCATTACAATTATTACAAGAGTATCGATTACAAATGTATCGATTTATTAAATTTATTAAATTTTATATCAAATGCATCTGGTGAACCAGTAACATAAGACTAAATTTTAATCATTCGATTGACAAATTAACAATACAATTAATCGGACTTGGCTAGTTTATGTTTAATTGTTAAAATCCCCACAATGTTAAAATCTTTATTATCGTATCCCATTTAACGAGTGTGTATAAAATAAATCACACGATAAAACAAAACGCATTGACATGTTGTAACCCTAGATTTATATAGATATCAGACGAATCATCGCCGTTTGTTTTAAAAATTACTCTGACCTTCAAATATGTAAATAAAAATAATCAAAGTTAAACGATTAAAGCGGTTAATTAATATTGAAATGTTTAATTGAGTACGTTTTGAAACACAGTGTATGGAAGAGAAACCGAATAACCATGCAAAGTTTAGCTAAACTCGTCATGTTCATGTAGTAACATTGAATTTTCTTACATCTTGACTTTAAATCATTAACATCAACAGAAACATAACGAAAACTTTATTTTCTATGAAAAAAGAAACTTGTCATTGGCTATAATTTATGAATTCTGAAACGCGACTTATAATAGCGTCTTATTTAAGTATAGGTTAGTGTTTAATAATACGTATTAACAAAAATAATTGGTCAACCGTGCCGCAGGCACGGGACCAATTACTTTTGTTAATGCGTTTTATTAAACATTAATAGCGCTTAATGTACGAGTACTTCTATAAATAGTCAATTTTTTTTTCGGTTTGCTGATCGGAAAACTTGTCTAAATGCCTTAACATTACACAAATACACCTAAATTGCATAAATCTTATGGTTTCGAGGACGTTCGCCGACTACTTATGTATTTTATCAGTCGGAGACAGTCGCCTAGTCGCTTTCTCATTCGGTCAAACACCAGCCACACTATCGGTAATGTTTTTACACTATCTGTTGTTTTCAACCCCCCAGCTTACGAAATGCACGTCACATTCAAACATATTGCTTGTAGTAATTTGTGGAAATTAGAATAAACAGCAATAGCAGCAACAGTAGCAACATTATCATTAGAAGTTTTAAGGTGTGAGTGTCCTTGCATATTTTCACGTTATGGTGTTCTTTCCGTAAAATCTATATTTATAGTGTAGCAAATTGCATGTAAGATGCAAAACTAAGGTGCTAGAAGAAAAATCAATGGAACAACCCCTATTATATCAACGTAGGCACAATGTCTTACCGGATATGTTATTAATCATTTCACATCCGCACGACACCGCGTCCTCATGAACAGACGGACGTACTAGCGATTTATACAACTGGGCAAATGTATTGACGTTCAAACAGGCAGTCTGACCAATGCATAGAAAAGTAGTCATTGACGATAGCGTTAAGTTGCCTACAAACGAACAGACATTCTTTTTTAGGGATTCTAAAAGAAAATTAAACCCACATTGCCTCCCTATAGACCCTATAGGCTGTACATCAAGAGATATTAAATTTTGCCGGACAGACGGGCAGATATATACACTAATACATGCCTTAAGACAAGAATTATGATATACAAGTATTGGATTAGGAAATGAGTAGTACATGATTAGGTTGTTTATATTCTTTAAAATATGAATGTTATGTTGCGAAATCCACAACATATTTGATAACAAAAGAGCACGTGTCAATGTTTGTGATTAAATCTATTGTTATTCAAATGAAAGTTCATTCGCTAAGTGGAGTATATAGACGTTTTGTTGTACATGTGTACATGTGTACATAAGATGTACATAACATAACTATGTAGCAATGTTTGTGTCCATCCACTCATCCTTGTCTTCAACTACTTTTGCATCCACGTTTTTGGCGACATGTAAGGAATTTCAACATTACCACATACCTTATTCATGTTATAATTTAAATGTGTTTTGTTTCACTGCACAGTAAACTTAATAGACCATGCTTGACAGTCGCATTTTTTGTTAGTTTCGTGTCAGAATAAATATGACACACCGGAAATAAACTTTAACTGATGCGATTATGATGATAATGTCTGTTATGTTTTAATTGATGCAATATGTAGCGCTTCAAACGAATACATTTACGCAGTTTGTATTGTTTGAGAGGAATATACTATGAAACAGCGGGTATTAAGTGATATTGACTTATGTACTAAAATTATTGCACTGTCGGGTGACGGCAAATGTTCGAACGATATTTATTCCTGTAGAAACGACTGCTTGCATATACATGAACAGCGTGCCCATCGACATGAAATGGGTTTTTATGATTATTTAGCATGATTCAGTACTTTGAGATCAACTGATCGAAAACCTGACTTTTTATGCATAACCAACCTATTACTTGAATTAAATAGGTGTTAAATTTTATGAAGCGTTCAAAAATTATTGATCATGAAATTTAAACAAAGTGTTATCAAAAGAATCTTTTTCTTGTATGAATGAAATATATACAAGATGCCTGTACATGTATCGATTCGTATGTATAAATCTTGATTATGAATACTTGTTGACATATACATCAAAATATCGTTGTCAACAGCTGTTTTAATGTTAATGCGTGTATACATAGGTAATATAATAATGAAATTAATACGCTGAAACTATCTTCACGGTGCTGTACCGTGGTACGTTAATGAGATTTAATTAGATAGGTTTATACGGACTTTTTTAATAAAAAATACTGTATCATTTTCGATACAATTTTGGATAACGTAGTTAACAATGCCACGTGTCTACACTAGAATGAGATGGATTAACGTGGCATATTGAACAATAAATCACGATGGAACAGTAAGACTTAACATCGGTGCTCAACCTATCATTATAATATGATATCTGATTTATAATGACTTAGTATGGCACATATATTAATCACATAAAAATGGACACGTGACTTATTTTGAAGAATATCACGTGAACAAGGTGTGCTTTCTAAGTGGAAGTAAGGCTGAAGCTGTGTCAGAAATAATTTTACAGTGTTCACACGTTTGTGATCGATGATGTGAAGGGGTTATTATCAAACTTACACAATGTTTTTATTTGATTTACCTATTGGAACTCAGCATAGGTTCACGGAGTAACGCACGTGATAGTTAGACACGTGCAAAAAATGGCGCAATTCTCCGTGTCTGTGAGCGTGGAGGAGATAGTTGTCGGCATTGAGCAGGTAATGAGTGAATTCTCGGACAGATATTTGACGTACGCTATTATCGGAGTAAGTGGATTTTTATTCGGAATATTTCTAGCGTCATTCTGCGGTGCTTTTTGTGGATTTTTGTGCTTTAAATGCTGTCATACATGTAGAAGAAGACGACTTAAAAAATCGCGGGAAAAACAATATCATTTAACTAGTATAGCAATAGACAAAGACATTTAAGTGATATCATTTTGTTTAGAACTTATTTATTTTTGATATATATTTATATATTTTTCAATTTATTTATTTTTGTATTAGACTTTTACATACACAATGCATCTTTAATTCAGCATATTGTTGATTGAATTCATTAAAAGCTTTAAATGAGTGTTTTGAATGTTAGACCATATAATAAAATTATACAGTGCTAATAATGTCCCATAGTATTCCACGTGGTAGGATCAGCATGAAAACTACTTTGCCACTCTACAACGTTGCATGTCTCTTTTGTCCGTTCATACATTTATTCTGTATTCATGTACGTACGCACGCACGCGCGCACGCACGTGCTCACTCACATACTTATTTTCTCCCTTGCCTGCTAAATAACGCTATTGCTTTCTGTTGGTGTGAATAAAAGAAATAAATCATATTATAATGTCAACTAGTTACTTACGTCGTATCAAGTTTTAAATAACGCTTCAAAATGCAATTTAGATATATCTTCGTTCGCAATTTAATGATCTTTGTAAAGTTCAGACATGTTTTACACCATACTTGCACGAGAAAATAATCATTAACGTCCTAGCATGTTATATATAATGAATCACGTTGAAAGGACGTGGGATCAGCTATAATAGGCCCTTTATATTGATACATATAAGAGTATTGATGAAACATCTCAAGCTGTAACACGTTGTCAGAACATAGACAGATATTTAGTTATTTAAATGAAGACAGCTTACTTAAACGATATGCAACGAAAACCACCAAACATGAGGTATACACCTTTAGTTTTTGTCATACCTATATACATGTATATAGCAAAACATTATTCGTATAATTTATACATGTCATTGTTGCAAATTTACAATTTATAATTTCATACCTGAACGAATTTAAAAAACCGTATAAAAACTCATTGTGGGGTGATACGTAGCTAGCCTCAGGTGTTAAAAGCAATCTACCGTGAATTGTTACTTCACATGAGCGTAAAATTAACATTGGTTCATTCTCATAAAACGCTTTGAGTAGTCGCCTGGCTCAACAGAAGTTTATTATATTAAATAGAGAGGTAGGATAATAGCATACAATTTGAAACCCAACCATGCCAAGATGGATACAGGTGTGTTAGGATATGGTCATGCACAAAAAGATGAAATATGATGACACTTGTGTCATATCGCCTTCTTGTATAATTTGGTCGGATGTAAAATCAAGAAGGATTCACTTACATGCTGATTGACGTTTGAAGATCTGTAGAAAGAATTTTGTATTATTTAACTAATGCTGCTGCCGATAATGAGGGTGATAATGATGAATGTGATGGTGATGATGATGATGATGATG